TTCAATTATACAACTTTATTGTATAGACTTTAAACTTTATTATTGACTTTTTTTATAGATATAGGAATAGTATCTCTATAGCTTACATTAGAAATACTTAAGATTTCTATCCTAAGAATATTAATAAGCTCATGAAGATCTACAATTGTTGCAAATCTATTCTCATTTCTGCCGAGAGTTTCATTCATAATTTCATTATACATAAACAACTCAAACAAATCCACAAGTCAAATTAAATGAATGTAATCCGTAACTTCTAATACCAAATTAAAATTTCTATAAATAAAAGAAGTCTATTTCTTTTAAAGAAAAAATTAGTGTTAAAAAACTAAAATATTAGTTTTAAAGGTGGGTAGTCTACAACCTTTAAAACACAACAATAGAAGTAGAGTAATCTACTTACTTCTTAACAAAAAAAGAAAAATGCATTAGAATTCTTCTTAAATTTTCAAGGACATGAATCTCAAATAAATAAAAATTCAATATATTCTTGTATTATTTAGAAAAAATAGATATTTATTCAAAATTAATATAATATTAAAACTAAAATGGCTATTATTAAAAACACAAAGATTAAAGAGTCTTGAAACAAGACTTAAGATTAGAAAGGTATTGACAAGAGTGAAAAAAACTTCATTCTTACTTCTGTATAGACTATCTAACTAGAAGTTGCATAGCAACAATCTATAGAATCTCCAATATACATCCAACTTACAAGACATGTGTTAAACTTACAAGACAAGTTTTCTACATTTTTGCCACATGGTTAGCTTGTACTACAAGCTACCAATACATGACTAATTTGTGGACCAAGTTTCTAATCTATCAATCAACTACAAATACATATAAAATCAAATCTATGTCTACGAAGCTTCTGAAAAGCTTTACTATAAGATATTAAATCTACTTACATTTATCTTCTACTTAATATTTTTTATCTATCTATATATATATATATATATATATATATATCTATAATACTTATACCTAGAGAACACCTAATTATATCAGACATATTATACAAGTTGCTTATTATTGAGTTTATGTAACATGGATTATATTAGGCATTGAAATTACTAGTTTCTCAAAAGCAATTGCCAATTGCTAATTGCTAACACACTACTTCTAACGTATACAAATATCTTTAAATACATGATGGACTTACTAAAAGCCTATATAAATGTTATTTTTATAAGATATATTCATTTTGCTTAGAGTTATTTATATATACTAGCATATGCATGATGATGCACAATAGCTAGTGCATAACAATATATATAACTATATTCAAGAATTTCATTGTAATCATTGCCATCTTAAGTATCAATCCTTCTAATGGTTTATTGTACAATAGTTTATTATATGCATACAAATTGCACATATTTAAATATGCTAGATTTCAATTTTTACAAATCCACTTCTATTACAATCAAACATATGGTTAATTAAAGCCCAAAACAAGGTAAAGTAGTCAATCAATTGGAACATGTGTACTTTTGAATATGCAACAAAGAAAGTATGGAAGTTGCAAATAATATGGCTCTTATAACTACAATAAATAGTTGTATCTTTATCATAATATAAAATCTCTAATTATGTAGCTATTGAGTATTTTTAATGTAATTTAGGTTTGAAGAGACTTAGTTTAAAAGTACAATTTGATCTTTGTAATAAGATTAATGTGGAGGTTGAAAGAAGGATAGTATTCCTCCTTGTTAGAAGTTAAGGAACAAAGCTTTCAAGTTAAATAAAATTAGATGTTTTCTTTTGAACATATCTTATAGGTATTAAAAATCAAATTTTAGGAAAAAATAGTATAAATAATATATATGATGTGATTTTCTTTCTTATTTGTATTTTTTTTAATTAATATTATTTTGTCTTTCTTTCAAAACCAAAATTGTGAAGATTTTCATTATTTATAACAATAGTTGTTAATATAAAAATGTATCTTGCTTCTAAGTCTATTCTAGCCAGATTTATTGTTTTTATCACAAGCATCAAGGATGTAGTAGCTAACGAGCACAATTAAAAAGTACAAGGTAGTATAGTCAAATTTTGGTATAATAATAATGGTAAAAAAAATGTTATTGTATTGTAATATAATTTTTAGGAAAAAGAAAAAAATAAGAATTATATTATAGAAGAGATCAATTTAAAATATTTTAGAAAATTACTTTAAAAATATAGATAATAGTCAATGAGGTAGTAAAATTAATAAGTGCAGATACTGCCTTTTTGCAATATGAGCTTTTGTTTACTTTGAAGAATTGTAAACAATATAAGATAAAATAGAATATCAAATTTAATATCATGGATATCTTAAGGTAGAATTCAATAGTAATTTCAGCAAAATTTACCTAAAAAAATTAGATGTTGATACTTAAAGAAGACCAATTATTAACTTGGATTGAAATTAGATCTTGTAATACAAAACTATACCTTTACAAAAACATCTAAGGTTTTTTTTGTTAAAGAATAAGGTTACTAAGGAGACTTTAGGAAGGTTTTTTTGGCATTGGTTTCAAGTAATTTGGATTATTTTTAAATTTTTAAGAGCTTTTTAAAATTAGAGATATTTTTAGTGATTTTGGATTTTTGAGGAATAAAAGAAAGTTTACATATTTGAGATATTTGTGAATATTGTTGTGGATTGACGGGTAAAATTTTGTATGAAGCAAAATTATGGTATATGACTTAAATTGGAGCAACTTATGGTGGCAATACCAAAAACTATGGTGGTATTAGCAACATCCTTTAAGCTTGGCTAACATAAATAAAAATAGGAGTCATATTTAATTTTTATAAAAAAAATATTAATAATATTTTTTGAATCTCTTTAAAATGACTTAATAATATTATATTAGTAAATATATCTATTTATTTATAAATAACTAATATAATATAACAAGATTTATATATTTTTCTTTATTTATTTATTTATGTTATAATAAATAATCAAGACGTCTATCTTCAAATTAATTTTACCAATAAAATTTATTTATTAAAGTTATAAAAAGCTTGTATATATACAATATGTTTTTTATTAAAATTTTTTTTAATATATATTTTGTATATGATATAAAGTTTTTAAACTATTTATAAATTAATAAAAATAAATATAAAATTTTAAAGATAGATTTTTTAACATAGAAAGTTTATTTTATATTTTAAATTAAGAATTATTTTAAAAAATATTTAAATTTTAAAAGAAAAAATATTTAAAAAATAAATTATTACGTGATTTTATTTTTATTTTTTATTAAAGTAAAAGTTGTTTGTTAAAATATATCTACTATAGTGTATACTATCCAATGAAATTAACAAATTATCAAATAATTTACAACTATTATATTAAAAGTATTATTGGTATCTTAAATACAATAGACTTTAATCTTAAATGAAGTTTTTGTAGTATGCGTCTATATTGGTGTTGTTTGTATCTATTGCTTGTATTAGTCTTCAAGTACTATGTGTACTATAGATATAGTTAAACTTCTATTATCTACAAGATATGAGTGAATTACAAAATGATAATTATTTTTCAAACATGAGATTTTATGCACACTTTTTTTTTCTTCTTGCAAAAATACGACAATGCACTCTACACATATCTATCAACTTTCAAAGTTTTAGAAAATCATTTGTCTTAGATAGAAGATAGTTTGCATTCTTAATAGTAGTCCAATAAAAACAAGCTTGCTTGTTGGAGCTATTATGTATGTGAGTCTCTAAAACAAAGTGCCTTGCAATGATTTATACAACTCAAATTAGACACAAACCATTGCCACATTCCAATCACTACACAAACAAGGAGTATTTTCAATTCCAACTTCAATTTTTAATAAAATTTGTCTCTTGAAATTTATATCTTAAAATCTGGAGGTTTGTTGATGCAGCCATGTATCCTTCAAAATCTATGGAAATAACACAACTCTCAAACCTATGATCTTTTCTATTTATCTTTTATGCTAGAATTATTACACTTTTTATTTTTTATTTTTTTACTTTTCAATTATGACCTTGAAGATAAGTGGGAGTAATTGAAAAAACTACCAAAAAATTCAAAAAGCTTTGTTTTACCTCTCAATGAGACAAAAAATAAAAAATAAAAAAATATATATATTCTATAAAGATTTATGCAGTTGCATATATATATATATATATATATATGTATGTATATTATTTCATTTTACAACTATCTATATTTTCTTCTTCTTTGACTTCTTCTTTAACATTATCTTTAAGTATAATGATTTTTTTTAAATGTTTTTAGAAATTTTTTTGCATGTATGTATGTTTATTATAGTTATTATTATCTTAATTATTTTTTGTAGTTTTGATAGAATATATTTGAATAATTTTTTTTTATATTTTATGTACTATATTTTATTACTTTTTTGTGTTTATTGTATTTCAATCATCTTCTTTGATATATTATTCCTGAAGCAAAGAAAGTAACTTCAATCTCAACCATTTATTATTATTAAACCAAACAATTATTAACAACCAAAATATTACTAAAATAAAAACATTGCTTTAATAGGCAAAATTTTCATTATTACTATTAATTTGTCTTTTAATATATATATATATATATATATATATATAATATTATGATTATCTAATCTAACTTTTTAACCTTATCATTTACCACATTATCTAATTCCAATACTTTTTTCTTCCAACACCACATTCGTGGAAAGCAAAGATTAGAACCAACGAACAAAAATAGAAAAAGAAAAAGAAAAAACAAAGGGTATCCAACTTCATTGCTCTTTGAAAACCCTAAATTGAATAAAACTCTAAATTGAGTAAAACCTTGAAGTTGAAGCAACAACTTCGATGGGTATTGCGAGGGTCCACAAGCGCGACGTCGATCCCTCGCAAAATCCACATCAAGCATCACCAGATCATCGTCATCGAAGAGTATAAAAGAAAGAAAAAAAAAAAAAAAAAAAAAAAAAAACAAGAGGATGAAGCTTTGAGCGGTGCCGCCACGATTCCAGCATTTTGTCGTGCACACGACCTTCACGCAATCTGCGAAGCGAAGTTTTCGTCGGCACCCAATCTGTCGCCCCATTCTTCGTTTGCTCGCGACAATCGTGACATTTGTTCACCCCCAGTACCTTGCGAGAAATCGCCAATTTGTTGGATATATACTTCCTTCATCTGGCAGCAGTGGAGGAATCTTATCGCTGGGGTTTCGAGAATCGAGAGTTTTGTACGAAGAATTCGAGGGAGTTTGGTTTGTTGGGTTCGTTCCTTCGTTCGTTCGTTGTGCAGCCATGGCGTCGGATGGATCTGTCGCTGAAGGGTCGAAGCTGAAGTCGGCCCAGCTTCTCGAGATGGTGAGGACCCATCTCACCACGGATGCTGGCAAGGAGCTCCAGAAAAAAATTGGGTTCGTCTACCAGATCAACATTGCTCCCAAGGTTTGTATTCAAATCTTTGGTGTAATCTCTGGGTTGTTCGATCTGGGTAGTGGAGTATACGCATCGAGAAGATCTGAAATCTGCTTTAGAGATTATTTGAGTTTGAGTGTGGTTGTTCCTCCAATGGTAGGATAGAGAGACCCATGTTCTGTGTCTTGTGTAATCCTTGTTTACCGTTTCTAATCCTGTCTCCCATGTGTATTTAATGGCGAGATCAAGTTGGTATTCCATCTACTTAGTGTGTGAGCGTGATTGTGGTTACAAGTTGCGGAATGGTTTGTGTTTTTTCTTTTCTTTTCATGCGTGTGTTTTATAGTTAGTTGAAACTGTTGATGCAGAAAATCGGTTTTGAAGAGGAAATCTTCGTGGTTGACCTCAAGAACTTGAAGGTTTACAAGGGTGAGCAGTATATCGTGTGATGTTTTGCAGTTAAGTCGACTTGCTTCGCAAATATATGGTTAATTCGCATTGTTAGATGTGTTAGTTCTGCAAATCTAGGTATGAGTCTTGGAGACTGTATGTGACGAATGGTTATGTTTTGATCTGGGATGGCAGGCAAGGCCGAGGGCAAGCCTGATGCTACCTTCAGTTTTGTTGATGGCGACTTCATAGCTGTTTCCAGCGGAAAAATGAACCCTCAAATGGCTTTCATCAGGTGTGATTATCTTAACCTCGTTTTATTGTCCACCCTTCTTCAACGACAGAAGTGTTTCCGACCCTTGTGACAGTCTCTCTTCTTATTGTGACGTTACTATTGGGGTGTTCATGATGGAGGATTGGAGTTTGTTTTTTACAAGTCTTGACTATCTGAAGGTTTGTTATGTATCAGCTAGGTACTGAACAAGTGCTTGACAATGCTTGCAGGGGCAAAATGAAGATCAAAGGGAGCATGAGCGCAGCTCAGAAGTTCACCCCCGACATTTTCCCCAAGCCTGCTAAGCTTTGAAGAAGCTTTCCTTATACGTCCATTTTAACATTTCCCCTTTATTATCAAGGTCGCTCACATGTAGTAATGACTGCCCACGGCATTAATGAATGACCATCATGTCGTGCGCATGTATAGGCTTTTAAATCTGGGTTGTACTTTGCAGGAACCAAGTCCCTTTGCTGGCCAGTTATATATATATATATATCTGCCAAACAGCAGCCATTTTTATCAAATTAATTACCCATTTCTGAGACACCATCGACTTCCATTATCAGTTGAGACATTGTGACGAAGTCGACTGTGATGTGAAAGTGTTGCCGCTGGTCTTTTAAAGGATTGGACCCTCTTTTTTGATCTGAAATGAACTCAGTCATCTTGAGTCATTCGCTTCTTGGGAGCAGCTCCGTGCTTCAGATTTTGCTCTTTCAATTTTCTCGAACTTAGTTGCAAATCTGATCGCTTTGGAAACGCCATGTCTCACAAAATGCTGTAGGAATTAGGTGTGCTTGCCACTTCGACAGCTGACCATCACTATGATGTTTATCTGTTATTCTTGTGTACTGTGTGAAGTTAATACCCGTAATGAAAATGTTTTTTTCTTTCTATGTTTCCTGCATATCGATGCACAGTGGCAACACATGTTTCAACGACAGGGAATAGATTCCCCTACCGATCCTGTTGATTGAGTGGTTTTGACCCTTGACAATTGTAGTTTAGATTTCGTGTTAAAATTATAATGATCTAGGCTTATTATTTTGTTGAAGTCTCTAATCTTCCAATTATTATTTTTTTCATCAAACTTTTTTTTTTTAATAAAACTGTGTAAGATTTGAATTGTTTTAATAGATTTTTGTTTGTTTCCATTGACATTATATTTAGAACATTTTTTAATATTTAATCATAACATTTTATATAATGGTTTTAATCTTATATTTTTATTATTGTCTAGTTGTTACTAATCATAGTATGTTTGTTGTCGATTTCACTACTTCCAATAATAATATCATGAAATAGAAGTTTAAATCTTGTTTGTTACTTTTTTTAAAATAGGTTAGTATTAATGAACTAGATCTTTCTTTAGTTTCTTTGCAATTTTAGTTGGCTAGTTAATAAAATGATCTAATTTTATGATCTTTTCACCGCTAAATACTTTCAAAACTTACAAATTATAATTTCTTCCAATTCTTGTTCTTATTTGCAAAGTTTATATTCCTTGCAAATAGTTGCCAAGATTCTTTTTTGCTATGTGTTCATTACAATCCTCTTATGTCAAAAAAACAAGATAAAATCCAGTTTTTTTACTTACTCACATGTAGTTCCATATCTTAATCCAATCAAGATTGTGGTCTAAGAAAAAAAAAATCATAAATTAATATCTTTTTATTAGGTTCTAAAGAAATGTTCTTTTCTTTATAACTTTCTTTTTTGTGTTTTTAAACAATCTTTTCTATCAATAATGAGACATTCCTCCAATTTTATTGTTTCAAATTAAGACTAAGATCTCAACATATAGTTATTTTATGTCAATCTCATCATATTACAAACATCTTTCAACTTCAAGTTGCCTTGGCAAAGTAGATACAAGTTGTAGATTATGTTAGATTTTGCATACAACTCTAAGATTTTAAAATAATTTTACAAGCCTATTGAACTAAAAGAAACAAGTTAAAGAGATTGAGAGCCACATTGAAAATACACACTATATTTATAGCCACACTTAGGTTATCTCTCTAACCCTAAATCCCAAATCTCTTACAATTTCCTAATATACATTAAGATCTAGGATTCCACATTATAATGTTTTTGAAAAAATCTAGTACCTAGAGCTTAAAAGTGTAAATTAGATTAAGAATAAAGTCACTAAAAATAAAACTATTTTTATTGTACAAAAATGGTAATTAAATATTAATTCTTATTTAATGTATTTTCTATCATTTTATTTTTTAAAAATAATATCCCTTATTCATTAAAGAGTTTATATAAATATAAATATATATATATATATATATACACACATACTAAAATTAATATGATTTGTATATTTTCTTTAGCAACTCATAATATTATCATTAGAAACTTTAATAAAAACAACCTTGAAAACTCATTATTGTTACATTCTTCAAGTCTCCTACTACTAATGTTACATATTTAAAGAACCTCCAAACTTGAAATATTCAATTCCAAACCTCCATGCCACAACTATTACATTAAATGCTCCAGCACAGCCACACTTGGTATTTGAAGAAATTACCCTTAATTGTTTTATAAAAGTTATTACAATACTGAAGGTTATAAAGGCTAGAATGGGTTTTGTTTATTAACTCGAATAATTTAAAGAAAAAACAAAAAAAACCCAATATTCCAAATTTTAATAATAAAAAAATTAATAGAAATTTTTATTATATATAAATATATACATGTACATGCACTATTTTTAAACTATATCAAATTATAACTTTGAATTTTATTCTTATATATATATATATATATATATATATAAACATACAGATATATACTCAAATTCTGAAATTTTAAAATTCAAAATTAAGACATTAAATCTAACACCAATTCAAACATTATTTTAAATAAAATAATTTTTTTTTGAATTTCTTACAAATGGTCAAAATTCAAGCCAAAAAATATAAATTTACTGATAGCTAATTTTTATTATTAGCTCAAATACAATACATATCTATTTTTATAAGATATTTAAGTTTAATCCTATTATGTATTAAAACATGCATGATTCTACATATTTTACCTAATACTTGATTCACATCATGATGTCATGACTTATTTGTAGTGGATAGTTTTATATTTCATAATTCTGATTCTTTTATTATGCATTAAAATTTATTAAATAATGCCAAAAGTGAAATCATGTCAATTTTTGGTTTTTTGTACAAGTTTCTAAGAATAAAAATTAGTCTAAAAATCAATCTAAAAGAATCTTTAGTTTGCAAATAATAAAAATTAGCTATCAGTAAATTGTATTTGAGCTAATGTATTTCATTTTGTCGGTTTGTGCTTCTGATGCATGAAAAATAACATTAATTTTATATTACATATCAGATAAGATCTTGTTTTACCAAAGCTAGAAATATTCAAAATCATGCATTGTTCTTTTGCAAGATGTAGTTTTAAAAAAATTCTGTTGCTTAATATTAGTGCTAGTAATTTTTTTTAATTAAAAACTATAAATTATAAAATGCCTTTTTAATGTCTTCTTTGTAAATTTTTCTTACACCAATAATATAAATTTTATTTTTTAAATTATTTACATCTTTTATAATATACTTAAAATTAAATTTTGGAAATTTAGTAAAAATATTTATATTTTATGTTTGAAGACAGGGGATTTATTTTGTAGATATTGTTAATGGCTTTCACACAATGACTTTGATTTGAAACTATGATTCTATGAAGCTTATTATTTTTACTTATCAACGATTTTAATGTACTTTGTTTTACAGCAACTGAAGTTGTCCATGTTTTGTCAATGACCCAATTTAATTCCAAGTATTCCTCCAGGCCTTAGATGATTTATTGCACATGTCAATTTAAATTCTTTTAACAAGTTCTTTCTTAATTCAATTGCAATCTGAGTACTTTAACTACTTTCAGTTATTCAAATCGACATCTTTTGACATCAAAATATTTTTAAATAAAAACAATTTCACTTATAAACTATAAAATTCAATCAATTGATCTAGCAGATGATAGACAACAAAAATTCTTTTCAGAATTGAAATAAAATGAAATGAAATAATATTTATGATAACTTATAAAACATCTTAGCATGCATAAATATCTTTATGAAAACTTTTTCATGATACATCAAATTAATCATGGGCTTTTTATTATTACCTTGTTTGTAAGTATACCTAAAAATCATGTATTAATATAAGTAATCAATATATACACAAAACATATTTATAAAATGTCACATATATTGTTTAGAAAATCTCATATACAAGCACAAAATAGTTTTAAAAATTTACATATATTTTATGTCCACATAATGATGTATCACAATGTTCAATTTTTATTGCACTTTAATTCCATATTTGTAAAATTATGCTTATAAAACACACACTTTACGATTGAATGTATTTTTAATATCGAGATTGTATTAACATATTAATAATAACATAAGTTTACGATTAAAACTTTACAACAGAGATGTGAAAAAACAAAATTTATCATCTAAAATTAGAAAGCCTATTTATATTTTAAATTGTAAATTTATACAAGATTATTGTTTTATTTTTCACCAAGATTAATAACATTATGAAATGCATCAACTAAAATTGTCAACTAATGCTACTTACAAATATACATGTTTTTTACAAAACATGGCATCAGATAGACTTATGTCGGCAATTTAGTTTGACAAAAATTGTTGGAAAGTAGTACATATCAAACTAAATTAAAGTGAATGGAAAATACAATAAATTATCGAGATTCATCCTCCTTAGTGCTTAGTTTAGGGTTTCATTCTCAAGTGTGAGTTTGTGTACATGGGAATGAAGCCCAAGAGTGCTATCGAGAAGATGTTTGAATTTGTGTACATGAAAATGTAAATAGAAGTTGATTCTGTGTATTACGATATACGGGATCATACGAAATTATGAAGTGACCCCATATATCCCGTTCGCATCCGTTTTCTGCGATTCGTGCAATCAATCCTGAGTTTCTCAAATACGTCATGTCCAGAATAATTCACGTTAATAATCTGCAATATTTCTTAGGGAATAATCTATCCGACATATAGCTTGAGAAACCACAGCATGCACGAAATGGGGACAAAAAGAATGGCTAATTTATAGAAACAATAGTCCTCAAACACAAATTGACACTGATTGATATACAGCAAAACGGAAGCTGTGTAACATACACAGATGCCACCGCAAGGAAGCACCATACACAAGCTTGAGAGGCCATTGTCACACATACACCAGCGAAAGAGCAGCTTTTGTTCACTAGAATTCTACGCATTAATCCCATTCTTCGTTTAGCGCCAACATATGACACATTCAGCGGCTGCTTCATGCTTCGACAACTTTTAAAGAGCTACCTCCAAGCAAATGATTCCAGGTCGTCTGCCTAAAGACCTCTAGGCAGCTCCCGACTGAGGTTGTTCTTGAGTTGGTCCGTCAGTGCGGAAACCTCTCCCCTGACCTCTACCCTGACCTCGGCCTCTGCCCCTCCCTCTGCCGCGACCTGGCATCATGTCCAACATATTCAGATGAAGTTTCAAAAAATCCAGTAGCGACAAATAGATAGTCATGACGACACGGTCTTATAATTATACAAGCGACATCTAAACATACCTGAGTATGACGTCTCCTGGGGAAAGTCGGTCCCCCGACCTCGTGGGGGTCCATCCGCATTGGGCTCATCGAAGCCACCAGCATCTTGATCTCTACCTCGGCCTCGGTAGGCACCACGACCCCGACCTCGACCCCGGCCACGACCACGACCGCGGCCCCAGCCACCATCAAGTCCATTGTACTCAGAATTTTCCACATCATTACCTGTTACCAATGTCGCAAATGAGAAGGTGCCAAAATTATACAGGCTTAATATCGAATATCTGATATATGAGCATTACCGAGGACATAAACTCTCGAAGGTTACACAGAGCACAAACCGTGAATAATTAAAGCAGATTTTAAGTTCCTCACATTATTCAGGTAGCAGAGTAAATATGAAGGATCAATTATTACCCACCTCTACCTCTGCCCCGACCTCTGCCTCTGCCTCTGCCCCTCCCTCCCCGTGGCGAGCCATCTGAAAGGCATTACGCCAACCAACAAGTACTGTGAGGAGCATAGATGCTTAAATCAAACCAAACAAACAAGTCAATATCGTAGAGTACTGTCAACCTACTACAGAAACTGCATAGGAGAAAAACAATTACCTCCTTCGTAGTCAAATTCAACCAGCGGCTTGACCTGATCTGCAGGAAGAGGAGGCTGGTACCTGTTCATCATTTGCAAACACTTAAAAGTGTTAAATAGAGATATTGAACGAAAGAAAGACTAGCACTTGTTAATAAGACTAGAATCGATCTTAACACAACGTCGCAAAATCCTCTCAAAATTGTCAACACCCAAAATCTAAGTACAGTGAAGGGGCCAGTTCCAACCCTGACAATTACATGTGAAACTGTCCATAAATTTAGGATAAAGTAATAAGTAAAGACGTTCCAGAGAACGAGCGGAAGGCCATATAATCTTACCCGATAGACGACTTCTCCAACTCTTTAGTGGATAGTGTGATCGTAATCATAGAGACATGTCGAGTGGTTTCCAAACTGTAAAGAACCATAGATTTATCAGAGGATTGAACATATGCCACTGACTAATTGCGATCAATATTATCTAACCATCACATCCCATTCTACAAGGCTGAGTCCACAACAATAGGCCAGTACAGCCAATCCAACCAAGCACCTACAATTGCTACATAAGATACTATTGTGTTAATTCTGTTCATTCTGGAAATGGCAAAAGATGCTTACGGCAGGAGTCCTTCTTCAATTGGCTCCCAAAGATCTGTGATATCGGTAGATCCAATTGACGTATTTTGGTGAAGCCCAGCAATCCTCCTCTGAACACACCAGAAAATCTGTTGTGAGAAAATTTTCCTTCAAGTTGAACTCAACAACATTGTTGAGTGATATAGAAATTATGAGCATGGGAAGACTGTGTGATATACACGGCAGCTAATAGCTCCTTCCATCCTCGTCTCTAGACAAATTGTGTCAAGCGGATAAACTGAACCGCTTTACTAACTAACGCTCCTAGGAACATATAACACAGTGGTGTTCAACCACGTTAAATTTTAAATATAAATAAATAAATAAATAAAAAGCTAAAAGGATTCGCTGAACTAAACAATGCCAGTAGGACTCACCTTTATGATTTCTGCAATGGTAACCGTCTTGTTGATAGCACGACCCATTGCCTTCAGTACAATTTCTGATGACCCCTTGTCCTGCACGATCAGCACCAAGAGAATGATTAAAATGGGAGAACGATCTTCTTTTTGTAGGAAGAGGAGGAGATTTTTTTATAAGATAATCTTTGTTTCATGTGACAATTAGACAGCCCAGCAAATAGAGATGCATGTGTTTAACAACCTACATGCATGCAAATTAAGATATTGTAACCATGTAAGACCATTAAACTACAATTAAGTTCTGGGGCCGAAGGACTCTGCAAGTTACATGCTGAGAGAGGAATAAACTACAAGGTGATAAATAGAGAGGCGAAAAACTCAATGCCAAATGACCGGTAACTAACAGAAACTGTGGACTTTCGACTCACCCTTTGAAAATACTAAACAATCAACCTTAAATCAGGAATGACAATTCAATGCGGGACAATAGATGTCGGAGCCGCGCAAATCGATAACGCAAATTCCGCCACATGTTGTGCGAAATGTACGGCTCAATAAAGAAAAACACCAATCGTACGCTAAGAGATACGACAGAGTATACCAAATCAATTTCTCAAATTAGGTAAAAGACGTAGCATCATCTCCTGATTAGGATTACTACGAGGTTGTTCCTAAGATTAGAATTATTACTAGTAAGCTTCTGTACAATGTATAGATAGGTCTATGCATCAAAACCTTAAAGAACCGAAGATGTGCGAGGCAAAACCTAATGAGCAATTTGGAAATGACGGTGATAGGTACCTGAAGAAGAGTGGTTGCATATGTAATGTAATTCCGCATCTTCCCTTGAGTAGTAATACGGATTTCATTTTCGCTAATAGGAATTTCGGGCCGTGGTTTCTCCACCCGCTGGTACCGGTCCATATTGAACTTTCCCTGTAGCCTTCAGGTTGCCTTAATCGAGAGTCCTCACTCCCGATGCAATGGTATAAAACCCTAGGAAAGATCTGTCACACATTCCAACCAAAAAAAACAGTTATCAATCGACTAGTAAAACCCTTTCGTGAAACTTAACCAAGGGCAGAATTCCAGGAGACAATTAACACAAAAGACTTCAGTAATCTCCAGCGGACAATTATCTACTTTTCACACGGGCAACAGCGAAATGACACCCCAAGAAATTGACTTCGATATGTCACCCCCGACATGCATTCGTATTACCGTAATTGCAGAGCTACGAGGAACTTGCCAATAATAACAGCGCAATGCTAAGAATATGACACTTTGTAGGCCAGGAAGAGTAAGGCAAGAAGAGTGTCCCCAAGGTTAACAAGAGTTTGGAGTGAAACAGAAGCCACGACCTTCGCGGTGCAAGTAACTGAACAAGGCGGCGCGCGCACCCAAGCTTTTACAGAGCGAAACTATGCAGCCTAACGCACTCTCATGCATAACACCTAACCATCCTCTCGCAGGACTCCTGTAACACACTATAAAAGGCACCAAGCACTCAATACACACTCCGCCAAAAACGCGCGCCGCCACAAAGACAACAATCATCACCGTTGGCCCGCAGTATCCGCCACCGCTAAGACAAAACAAAAAAACCAACATAAAACCGCAACCGCAACGGCGTCAAAGCCACTTGACCTACTCCTCAATTGACAGGAAAACTACTGCGAGCAAAATAAAAACAAAAATTAACAACTGCAAAAACTTGCACCCCTTGCAGATCACCGCTCGCGCCGCAGCGCAGCCAGGAAGCAGCGACCATTACAGAGGCAGCAGTCGAGAAATCAAAACCCCAGCCACACGCGCACGACGCACCGGAAGAAACAAACGACGACAATTACGACGACGATCCAATAGGGCAAGCTGCGAGAAACTGCAAGCAGAGGTGAAAAAGTAGGAGGAAGAAGAAGAAGCAGCAGCACGAGCGGGCGTAAGAACCTGCGGGAAAGCCGCTCGGCAGAAGAGAGAGTAATGGATGGTGTCACTGCTAGTAGGCAGCCAAGCCAAGCCAAGCCAAGGAGGAGGAGGAGAAGGCGGCGGCGGAAGGGATTGCAAGAGAGCGTGAAGGATACAGAGTGGCCAGATGCGAGAACGCTCTAAAGCACGAGGTGCGAGTGCGGACAGGCAGGAACAGGAGGAGGAGCAGGAAGAGAAGCAGTAGCAGGGTTGCTTCTGAAAGAAAGTGTCACAAGAAAGACCGGAAGAATCAACAACAACAACAACCAGGAGAGGACCCCGAGCAACAACACCACCACCACCACAACCAGGGCATGGAACGGAAGGGAAGCGAAGGGAAGACAGGGCTCCAAGGAAGGATGGAGGGAAGGAAGGGAAAAAGGAAAAGATACAAAAGCACGGAAAGATAACCAGAAGAAAGAAACCCCCTGGGAAAGATATCGCGGTGGAAGGAAGCGAAGAAAGGGCCACTGTGGCCAGTCACCGCACCACGCCTCGGACCCGCGACGGGTGTCGCGCGTTCTGCAGCCCCCTCTCCGGCCCCACTCGCGATATCATTCATTCTTTCTCCACGTTCATCGTTGGTAATTCATCCATTTTTACTGTACTTCGATGCTGCCGTGTGAACGGGACCTTCGTGGATTTTTAGAACTAAGCGAGTAAGAACTCATTTCTGTTTGTTTGTGTTTGTGTTTTGTTTTGTTTGTTTTTTTTTTTTTTTTTTTTTTTTAGGGTTGGGTTTGACGTGGAATGGTATTTGGATAGGGCTAGTTTTTTTTGATTGGGCATTTCTTTTGTAAATTGGTTATTTCCCAACTTGTTCCTTGTTATATTCTTACTGCAAAACTTTTGTGAGCACTTCTTTGGCAAGTGTATTGCAACGTTTGTTTGTGAATTCAAAAGTAGTTTGAATTTTTTTTGTTATATTTCTTAAATTAATTTGAAAATTTTAGTCCTTTGTTTCAAAGTGAAACCTGTCATTTTCATCATTTTAGTTTGAATTCTATAAATTTAATTTATTCCAACATATAATTTTGTCTATTGCTTAAGAATATATGATAAATTACTAAAAAAGTTGAAATTGAAATTGTGCGATTCTTGCGCCAAAAAAGCTTTTCAGAATGTTGTAGATACTCTTTATAAAAACTACACATTTTAATTATGATTATGGTTGTAGTACATGATTAAACAATGTCTAAATTTATACAATTTTAATATACATATATATACATACACATGCTTTTCTAAAATCAGAAAATCAGAAAAATAAAAAAATAAAAACAAAACAAAACAAAAACAAAAACAAAACAACAAATAAGCAACAACAACAACAACAACAATAACATCTCTATTGAACAATGTTAAAATATCATCCATTGAGCTTCTTCTATATTTACATAGTCTTAAACACAATATTTTAATTTATAATCAACAATTGTAATCTATGGTAGAAAATGCTGTATGGGGCATTTTTTTAATGCAACGCAATTTTAATTATTGTTTAAAATTGGAAAAGACACCATTTACACCAGCCATGCAAAAAATTAATGCAATTTTAATCACCAGAGTTTCTCTCAAGTTACAGTCTTTTCAAATAACTTGGTGCAAACCAAACAGTTTTAAAGTATACCAAAACCCTAAAGTGCTTCCAAACTTGACTTGTGAACAAATATCATTTGTTAGATTATCACCCACAATGATTTTGTAATTGGCCCACTTCCAACTCCTTGCCACCACATTGGCAAGGGACAAAATTAATAAAATCCTTTTCTGAAATAAACATTCTTTGATTTAAGTAAATATTCTTTAAAATGGCAAAGATAGTTGACAATTCCCATGAGGTCTTGGGTTGAAACTTGAATGACAATGTTAGCTTTGATTTTACTATGTCTATGTCTATGTATGTATGTATGTATATATATATATATATATATATATATTTATATTGTTGAGATATTGCGTCTTCTCTTTGACTCTACTTATGGATTGTATTACTTTAATGTCCTCTTAAGATTCTTCTCCCCACCCTTGGACCAACTGTAAGTGGACACACTAAAGTTTTAAGACTTGTGCCGAATTCTTTATTTGGATGAACACTGATTTTTGAATATTCATCTTGTCTGGTAACCAATTTGGGGATTGATTCACGGTGAGTATGTCAGAATTAAACAATTCAGAGTTAATCAAAGAGGGTTGGGTCTCAAAATTACACTCACTGCATCGCTATACTGGGCGCTATGAGTGGAAAAAGCTACAATAGAATAGGGCTCCGGTGAACTGTAGACTGTAGGAATGACAACATCCTGTTTGTTGCAATAGATCTAGGATTAGTGAGAGATATGGTGGACCCATCTGCACCTCTGCAAGTCACAAAGCATATCAGCTCTGTTTGTCTTTACCCCAAAACAATCCAGCTTTCCGTTATTTCCATAGCCAGCAAGATGAAACCTGATATGATAGTTGGCTTTCTCTTCTTTTTTGTCACTTGAACAGAAATGGTTCCAAGGTCATGTTTTGAGCTAGAAAAATAAACAGGATTGCAGGACTTCGCAGATTACAGATCCATGCAACACTTCCTCCATACACACAGAGTTCATAACTCAAAACAGGTGGGTAACACACCAGAGTGTTGGCGGAGTCTCCGAGATTAGAAACTTTTTTGTGGCTAGAAGAAGAAGATGTTGCAGGTTATCTCACGTGGAAGTAGAGTCGGTGAATGAGGACGGGTTTCGTGCTGCCGAACAGCGTGCCCACAGCAAAAGAGCATTTCTCGTGGTTGTGTGGTACCTGGTGGAGAATGTCTGATGTTCGCTTCATTTAGTTGTTTTTATTTTTTTGTCCCTTGGTGTTAAGCACCGCACCACATGCGAGGTTGAGGCCCACCATCTGTCAGGTTACAGCGGTTTTCCATGGAGAGCATCCTCCTGAATCCCACGGTGACTAACTCCAGATTTCGTAGCTACTGCAGGCTGTGTCGTTCTCGACTTTCAACGATAGTGAAAATATGCTCGGTTAAAGGTTAACCTTGGAAGCGGCTGTTTTATAAGTTTTAATGATCACGCTTGGGAATCTTTCATGAGATTGCCACAGACTGGAGTACTGATTGGGCTTCTTTCTTCTGCAACAAAACGCTGAATTGTGCTGCCAGTGGCTGAAGTTGTTGCAACTGGCAAGTAGAAGAATCAATTCCAGGAGCAAATCAATGAATGGCCTTCCTCAGAGGGTCCCATATGGTTTCACTACAATCCAATGTGGGCATACGTAGCTACTTTTATTGTCGCTATGATTAGTGGTGATGACTGGAAATGCAGAAGATTGCATCAAAACTGTGTTGACGCGGTAGACAGGATTTAACGTTGCATGATTACAAGATCTGGATGCGGTTCTTTCGTATAGTTCAATTGCGCATTTTATAACCCTAATGGAGATAATAAAAACCATGATAAGAGTTCACTTACAGCTTGGGGTTCCTCTTAGTGTGTGGAATGAAGGTTGTGTAAAACCTTGGAGGTTCTGTAACAATAATGCAGTCTGAAGACAGCTCTTTACTACAAAGAATCTTTAAGAGGTCGAAGTGCAGGCAACGAGGAACCAGGAGAGGGTTTATACTGTTAAGTATCACAATAGTAGGAATTTCAAGTAACGAAAGAGGGATCAATGCTTATTATCCTCGGTACTAGTGCTATACATCTGCGAGGCATTGGATTTTATGTCCGACCCACCCAACTGTAAAAAACATTCTGGCAGTCACGGACAAAGAGAGAGCAAAGGTAACCTTCAGGTTGGTATTCAGTGGCTCCATAGGTCTCTGGGTACTCGTGAAGAGAGATAATCTCGTCTGACCACTGGGATCTTCACCGATGCGCACGGCTTCGTCAGCCAATTCAACGTGCAGCGCATGCGTATCGAATTTGGCCACGCATGGAATGGCCATTTCATGCGCAATTGCGAATGATGCACCTGCAATTTCTCCTCTCTTCGCAACCAAGACCTAATTACCTTAATAGACTGCCGACAGAGCTTCATTTTCATTGCGCAGCTCCGATTTCCTCCGATCTCGATAACCACGGCACTCTTCTCCATGGTATGTTGCAGTGAACGCGAATTAGTGTATCAAAACGTGCCCGTATTGCATTGCAATCCCTTTCAAGGACCATGACGTGGGTTCACAGGCTCAGAGCTGCATCGACGATGCACCTCTTGTAAAGCAGCCGCTATGCCACCAGCGTCTACTCCACAGGGACCCAATCCCCACAAAAAATTTCAAATCCTTTAAGGTCTAAGATTTGTCACCGTAAACCCATCGGGCCACGTCAACACACAACCCAGCAAACAGTATCCGTTACAGCAAGTCTGGAATTTAGCTCGATAATGGTACCGAGTAAAATGCAAGGCGTCGGAGCTCGTCCATGACTGCAGTGCAGCCATTGTGGGTGCCATTGCTAGTGGGAATTTACAATAGTTGGCTTAATAAATCTGATACTTCTATGATTTTTCTCCAATTTTGCCGAATCATCAAGGTGCTAATGTAATTTGACTGCGAGGAAATAACCTCATAAACTCTATGATTAGACAACGTAAACAATGTTTTGTTTGCGCGTTAATGACGATGCTATTAAACTCATCTCAATTCGTGTACCAACATAGGCATTAAAATCTTTACAATTGTTGACGAAGTACCGTCTGATCAATTGAAGTTCAAGGTTTAGTTGTGCAAAAATGAACAGAAACAAGTAATCAAGTTAACATTGCACTACATTGAAACTGGTTGGAGTGAAATTCTACGTCGGGATTGTTAAATACAGATTCATTGGCGTACCCATTTTGATGTCAGGAGTCTATTATAGAACAGAACATTCGAGCAGTATTATTGCAAGCTGCAAAAAATGCACAAACAAGTGGATGAGCAAGGCTTTGGAACAACTTTGATTAAAATTCCTTAGCACATAAATACTACGTCGATTTGGTCAAAATCTCCATTCAATGTTAGACGTACCCACTAATATGTACTAGCAATCTGTCTAAACCACGATAGAAAAGAGTTCATGCCATAAAATCTCAGCTGGGAGTGCGAAAACCACTGTGAACTAAGGATATGTTGCAAAATACGCGTTAATAATGCTTACTGGTACTAATTGCAGTTTCAAATTGATGGGCTGAGTTTCAAAATTATCTAATGTAACAAGACTGATCCAATACCAAACCTCATAACTCTAATTTTCTGATTTAACACTTCCAAGACAATTCAGTCCACCAAGTTGCTACAAACTGGTATTTTGCATAAGCACCATGAAAGTTGCTTACGCAGCAGCTTTCACAGTTTCCTTGACTGGTGTTGAAGACTGTGGGAACGTTGGTGGCTGGACAACACAAACAAGTGGATCAGCACCACAGATGATAGCGAATCGAAGGTAGAACACATTGCAATTCTATGAAATTTCAGACTAATTGATTTCTAACGTCATTAAGAAATCCAGACCCTGCAAAACAATGTTCAAAGTTCACTTACAGCTTGGAGCTCTTCTTCATGCTTGGGGATAAAAGCTGTGTCTACTTTGCCATCCTTGAAGTCCTGAAATAAAATTGGACTATTAGTTCCAAAGCGAAGGACAAGCACTGATGGGGTATGAGCAGAGAGTCCACCGCAAATAACCCTAGGCTTATCAATCTACAAGAGGAACTATATATGTTCTAAAATATGCTTTCCAAATACTAACTCAATACATGGAATGCGAAGGACTTGAAAATGATGGAATCGCATCGCAAAGAAAGAAACTAAGTTATTGAAAGAACCTGGATGTCTAGAATGAGTTTGTGGTAATCAAGAGTTGTCGGTATGCCTGGGACAATTCCACGAATATCCAGATTAGTTTCCGAGCAATATTCATTACTGAGACATCGCTGAAAATGAGATTTAGATGACGAGACTTGAAGACTCCAACCACAAGTACTGATTACGAATGGATGCGGCTGCCATTCACCTGTAATAATGGTGTCATTCAGAGCTCGCTTCATCCTTTCAATAGCCCTCTCTCTTGTTGGGGCCCATACAATCAGCTGCATAGACAGAGTGACTTTTTCAGTATAACAGCATCAAGTACATTATAAAAAACTGGATCCAAAAATCAAATATTAAATATTAAAAACGGGAGAACGAAACTGACCTTTCCCAGCAAAGAGTCATAACTGGGAGGCACTACGTAGTCTGTGTAGATGTGACTGTCCATCCTCACGAATGGGCCACCGGGAGGCAAATAGCCTGTAATACGGCCTGCACATGAAAAAGAGGACCTGTCAGTTGATGCAATTGCTAATAAACGGCAAACAAAAGTAGCAGCAGAACATGAGGAAAAAACCTATTGTCCATTCTTGTTATGATTCTTGCTAAAATGTCAATATATGCTCCCAGCGGTTCCAGCCCAACAACGATGAAAATTAATCAATCTTCTGTTTCTCTGTCATTCTTATTATACGAAATCTCGTTCATTTTACATGTATTGTGACAGATGCGTTAAGCGTCTGTATAGTTAGTAAATAACTGCTCTGACCTGGTCCAGGACGGAAGCCTTGGAAGGCATCCTCTGCGTTGATGCGGCACTCAATTGAATGTCCCCTTAGTACAATTTCGTCCTGCAACGCCAGGCAGCAATGAAATCAATTTAGCTGACGAAGACGGCGTCGGGAATTTCACACTCGTAATATGAATCTGACATCATATACTTCTGCAAAAAACCAAGAAAAGATCCTCCGAACCTCCAACTCCAGTCAAGACACTACCTGAGTAAACCTTAGCTTTTCTCCCAATGCTGCACGAATCTGCTCCTCAATCAGATCGACGGAATAAATCATTTCTGTCACAGGGTGTTCCACTTGAATACGTGTGTTCATCTCCATGAAGTAGAAGTTGCCACCCTCGTCAAGTAAAAACTCCACTGTACCAACTCCAATGTATCCAATAGAGGCAGCAGCAGCCACAGCAGCATCACCCATTGCCTTTCGCAACTCCGGAGTTAGAGCGGGGGAAGGGGCTTCTTCCAAAAGCTTCTGGTTTCTTCTCTGTTGTCAAAGGAAAAACGACAAATTCATTTGCAAGTTCAGCAATTATTCACTGGTATGAAGAGCGTATGGAACAAATTCAAACTATGCTGAACTAGCATTGGTTGGTGGTATTTCTCTACAGAGCTTGCCACCAACAACAACTAAGGGACTTGGAAATCTCTGTACATCTCATAAACGATTTTTAATTCAAACAAGATTTCCATCTACCTGTAGCACCCATCAAGTTACCTGAATACTGCAATCACGCTCGCCAAAATGCACGACATTTCCATATTTATCAGCCAAGACCTGCAATTCAAATAAGGAACGATGTTTTCAATTTAGGAAACCTGAGTCTAATGCTTTCAGTGTCCTTATAAATGTACGTTGCTGTCCAGGGAATCTAGAATATCAGAACATAGGTTGCAGATCAACAAATCAGTCATACCTGAAATTCAATATGCCTGGGATTCTGGATGTATCTCTCAAGATAAACACCATCATTACCAAAAGCAGCGCCTGCCTCACTCCTAGCTTGCTGCACATAAAAGAAGACCATGTACTTGAGTGATCTCATTATCTTTCTGCACGAACCTCAATTTTCTTATCCTTAAAGATAGTAACAGCCAGGGAGGGAATGTCTGATTCTTGTGAGCTCAGTCAATAATGATCATAAGGTAAGTCCAAAACTTAGAAAAATGAGTATCATAAGTTTCTACCAGATTATAAAAAGGTAAACAATACATACCTGTAAAAGTTTCACAAACTCTCCAGGCTCATTTGCCAGTCTCATTCCACGACCGCCACCTCCAGCCGTGGCCTAGTTCACAACAAGAGGAAGAGAGAAGTTAGCTAGAAGGGAATAAAAGAGGAAAGTGTAGCACTTGGAATTAGTAAACTGATGATCCAGGTATCAAGGGACCTGCCCAGCTGATAAAATCCCATGCGATTTTCGTGAACCTAAAGCACTCCAAACTTGAAGGTACAGCAATCAAGAGGTCTAAAAATTAATAAATAAAGATAAATCAAAATACTTCTCCTTAGACTTTCAAATACGAATAACATGAACTTAAGATTGGGATCATCATCAAGGGCAGGAAACAGCACCCAGGGCTCCTATTAATTTCTCTATTGCTTCATTTAAAATAAGAAGCAAGAGAGACATACATGATTAAAAGCGCGAAATAAAAACAAACTCATATCTAAAAATCTGAGATTCGAGAATAGCGAAAGAGTTCTTTGTGGAAATTCGAACAATCGAACGATCTGGTGTCATGTAAGCGCTAGACCGGTGAGGGTTTGATGTACACATCGAATGAAATGAGAGGAATCCATTTCGATGATTGGAACTTACTTTGATCATAACTGGAAAACCAATCTCGTGGGCTAGTCTCACTGCTTCCTCGGTGCTCTATTGAACCAAAAAACATAGGGTGAGAGTAATGTTTGAATGATAAAAATATTGCTGCGTCTTCATATACTGCCATTTCTTTCCGGTCCTTCATCACTTGAACAGGTAGTTTAAAACCCAATACGAACATCAAAACTCTCCATCAGACAGTCACATCACCTGGACAAGACCTTCGCTGCCTGGCACAGTAGGGACTCCAGCCTTCTTCATAGTCTCTCGCGCTGTTGCCTTGTCTCCCATGACGCGGATGCTGTCCGACTGCAGACCACACAGATTCAATCCAGACTTTAAAAGTCTACAACGACATGCCAGTGCGGCAATGCCTACAAGAAGTAAAGACGCTCGAGGTCGCTATCGACATGGTAGCTGATACATGAATCATTACAGTTGATGAAGCGTGCAAAAACGGGAATTGGGTTCAACGAGTTAGGAAGAGCTGCTCACATTCGGCCCAATGAAGTTGAGACCGTGGTCCTTGCACATATCCACAAAGGTCGCGTTCTCCGCCAAGAAACCGTAGCCAGGGTGCAACATCGTGCACCTGTGGCTGATTGCAGCCGTTATTATGTTCGGAATATTGAGGTACCTATTCAGAACAGGAGAATTAAACTCGTCACGATAACCTCAAAACACAAGAAAGGTAGAAGCTTTCATCAATCGCCATATTCTGTTCACAGCCAGCCGACCGGATCCTTCAACGATATGTACGCTCACAAATAAGAAAGCGATTAACAGGCGAAGTGAAACCAAAAATCAATAATGACACTGCCATTTTCGGCACAGATTGACAGAAGAACAGATAGTAAAAAGCATATATCACGAATCTGGACGCAACTTTGACAGCGAACAACAAACGCGCCTTTTGATGACTTCGATTTGCATAAAACAAAACCCATGCGTACAAATATCCATGCCTATGGAATTGCCCGTGACTTTAGCTTGCGAAATATAACCGCTCTACAAATGCTAGTGCATTGCAATTACTTTAATGACGACTTTCCTTTGCAACCAACAAACACCTTTGAAACTAGGATATCAGGGAGCGATAACTTCGAGGTGGTACTGTGTGGTTGAAAGACATAGAAAAGAAAAGAAAAGTATACTCACGATTGACTGCTAGGAGCTTCGCCAATGCATACGGCTGAATCAGCCAGCTGTACGTGCAAGGCTTGCCTATCAATCGTGGAATGCACGGCCACGCAAGGAATGCCCATCTCATGCGCAGTGCGAATGATGCGCACGGCAATCTCGCCCCTGTTCGCAACCAAAATCTTCTCCCCTTCACAGGTAGCGGACAGAGCACCATTGCGCGCTCTCGAATTACCCTTCTTCTCCCCAACCAGAACACATTTCTCAACAGCACGCTTCAGAGAAAGCGACCCCGTCTGAAAGCTACCGCTGCTGCATCGCATCCCCTTTCTAGCACCACCCAGGAGAACCGCAGACCGCTCCTCGCATTGACGCTGCACTCCATTCCCAGACGCGAAAACACCACAAGCACGCTACCACAACCCAACAGACCCACATCAGGACCCTTAAACCCCTCCATAACTATCACTAAAACCTCACCAAACTCCACCTAACCCACCAAAACGCAACCCCCCACACATCAAATACCCCTAACCCAATTCGCACAAACAATATCAACATATCCCCATCTCCTCTACAAACAAACCCACACGAATCATTCGCAACAACAACGCCTGAATGCGCCATTCTCAATACACCACCAAGCTGAAACTGCAAAGACGGCGAAGCAAAGAATACGAAGAAGAAGAACACTAACCGTAGAGCATGTGAGCTGCTGGAGAGTCTCCATGGCGACGGAGAGGGAGGAAGCAGAGACACGATTGCGGGGACAGTGAAGAGTGAGGATGCAAGGCAGCTAATCCGACGAGGTAATGGGGGGTGGAGAGAGAGATTCAACGGAGACGGAGACAGGGCCGAGGTTGGCGATACCAACGAGGCCGAGCTCTCTAAGCGATCGGAATTGGGGCATCATGCCCGCACCCCGCCCGTTCGATTCGAAACCCTGGAAAGTCCGTCTGAGCGGTCCGGGTATCGTTGGTTATGGGATACAGTCCTCAATTTGCGTCCATTTGGATGAAGAGTAGATGAATGAGGGTCACGGTAGGTCGTTGTTTTTCGCTTTGTGGATGATTTAAGGTTCTTGCCTGGTTTTGCTTTGTGACGTTGTGGCACATTATTGACACTGAAACTTATTTTCAGAAAATAAAATAAAATAAAATAAAATAAAAGAAGAAGAAGAAGAAGAAGAAGAAGAAAGAAAGAAAGAAAGAAGAGGATAAGAGAATGTAAATTAGACCCAAGTTTTTACTAAATTGAACCACCCATGATGATGAAAAAAAAAAACAATAAATAAATGAATGAATGAATTCTAGATTCATTTTTCCACTACTGGATCCTAAATCAATGATAACCAACCACATTATTACCATATTCTTCATCATGGGTAGGTTGATTTAGTGAAAACCTGAGTCTATTTAACATTTCCCAAAAAAATAACATGGCCTTAATCATGTATGTAGATCATTGTAACTAGATATATGTATTTTTTATCTTGGAAATGGAGGTTGAGGTGATTTTTGCCAATTTGCTGAAGACCATGTAGTTTACACAATGACTATTTAAATATATGTATATTATTTATATGTGTGTTGATAGTCACCTTTAATTATTTTATCATTTAGAATAATTCATTTGCTTCATTTTTCAGTCATGAGTTATGTAACGTTTTCTTTTTTTTTAAATTACTTGAATTATGTTGCTATTGTTTAGGTAGGTTCAATATTTTTCATCCACTTTTGTTTTTTGTTTTATGTTATTTTAATCTTCAATGTATGCTCATCATTTTACCTGTTTTAGGTTTAGATTTCAGGGCAGCCCTTAAAATCATGTATGAGTTCAATCGACCAACACAACTCACCTCACAAACACAACAATTATCATACACCCATCTAATGACATACGAAAAAATTTATTATTTTATGTTGCAGTTTAGAGTCAGCATTAGGACCAAACCGCACCGTGAAATTTATACTACGAACAATTGATGACAGTAAACTATTTTTCCACATAGACTGCTCGTTGTATTCCTGTACAATTTTACAACTCATTAGTTTTTAACATCACTTACATAATAAAACAGATTCTTCGTTTCTTCTATATCATTCATCCATAGATTTAAAAGGATGCAAAGGATGATAATAAATAAAATAAAATGAGAGATCACCCAGTTTCCTGCAGACTTGATTTGCGAGTCTAATATTTATAGCTTTTGTTTACTATCTAAACCACGTCACCCTTATTGACCCAACCTTGCATTATAGATTATATTCCAACTAAGCTTACTGAAAATCTAGAAAAGCTTAAACATCAGTTTGAGACTGCAGATGAAAACAGCACAAGTTTCTGTTAGTTCAAACACAGAATCAAAACTTCCAATCCACACCACTCACCAAGCAGTCAGGTTTGAAGGCAAGCGAGAGCATATTACAGCACATTTCTCAGCAGTCTGGTTCATTCGTCTGTCGCCTCAATGCCTATATAATACAAAAGGTTATGTAACGAGAACTACCCAAGTGACGAACGTAAAATGTTTATCACAACAGGCATTTCTCAGTTATGCAAGAGCATAATTCCAAACTGAAGTCTACTGGAAAATCTGAGCAATGAGATCGCACTTCGAGCCCTAGAATTGCTACCCAAAAGAATCACTTGACAGCTGCTGAAACACTTCGACTGTCACAGGTTGTAGTACACCAAGCAAACTGGTACTGGATTCCGTATCAAGGCCCGTGTTTTCTGCAACGTTTCTCCCTGTGCAGTGAGTGAAAAGAGTCGAAAAATGCTGAACTTCTCCTCTGTCGATGCTCTGCCAATGCTAGCAAAAACATGAATTGTGATGCTTACACCAGAAGTCTTGAGAGTTGTGACAAAGATGGAATACCTTAGAATGCATACGCACAGCCAGACTTTGAGAATCACTCGCGGTGAATACCCAAGCCGTATTTCAAAAGAAATGATATGACTTGTTGAAGGTATTCAACTGTTTTCTTCTTAATGCACAGTTGCCAACCTAACTCCGCAGCCAGATATTGCATTGAAGTTCGTATGCATAGAACATGATTTTCGCCACTTTAATCGACTTCCCCAAAAAGAGCACCTTCTTCTCTGAAGAGATTACGTAAAGGTCAAAATTGTAAACTCACTAGAATTTGTCGAATCTACTGTCTCATCATACTTCCACTTGAGAGAAAAAAACAAATTTTGCAATTGTTGAGGGGCTAGGCATACCTCTCAAAAAACGCTGCATTCGACTCCATGGAATGAAGGCTTTTCTCTCCATTTACATGAGGTGAACACTCCCTCAAAAGGTCTCCATAATTATATCCCCCATTTATAACTGACATCCAACAGTCGATCTGCACAAAGAGCCCACCAAACATGATTCTCAGTGACATGACGTGTCTTGTGCCTAGCAATGCAAGCCACTCCAAAGACAGACATCGTTCGGTTTACTGTTTAATCTGCATTACTACGACAATGAATTAATGATTACTCTTTTTCACGAAATCCAAGGACTTAAGGAGGAATGTCCATGCTTTTGAGAACTCATTCGGCATTTTGAGTAGATGGAATGTGACATATAGGGTAGCAGGAAATTGTTGTGCAGAGGTAATCCTCATTACACACACCTGAAGCTTAATGAGTGACGAACATTCCAGACGTAGGCCATGGCAAGTGGTAATGTGGAATGCTGACCACCTAGTATCGCCTTGGTGATGCAAATGGTTTGGAATGATGCCAACCTCCACAATTTCACTCCTCATAATTGTGCCTTGTGGCCTTAAATCTAAACCGTTGAGGTATCATTAGATTTCCAGACGATATCGTCCAAATTTAAGCAAATTGAGAATACTGGTTATGATGAAACTTAATTAAGAAAAGCGAAATCATACTTTAGTGGATGTCGAGACCTTCACTAAATTTATCAGTAAATAAAAAACATGCACGAACATTTAAGCCCTGCTAACGCATAATGACATGATTAGAGCCATCGCTTTTGCCGACATATGCGAATATGTTCTCTAGAAACACATCGGAAAAAAAATTAAGATGAAAAACATGTCAACAAAAGCTGGATAAAGGAATCGGATTTCCCACCTGTTGCCCGCAGAAAGAAACATATAGATGATCCTCGAATCACAACAAAGCGCAGCAACCAGTCATCAACATCTGTGTCATCCACAGGGGGTTCCCCTGACAAAGCTGTCCATCTCTGCAAAAGGACACAATGCTTATTTATTAAAATAATAAAATTACCGGACTAAAAAAATCCAATTCACTGCTCATGACATCTCCGGAAATCCGATAGGTAGACAGCCAGTGTTCAATTTCCAATGACACCAAATACATTCTACACCAGTTCCTTTTCCAACGAATCTCAACCCATTTAGTTTCATCGGAAATTGGCTTCAAAACGTACTCAACAAATAAATTACTTGATATTCAGGGGCTTGTAACATGTAAGCTTACCGTCCGTGTGTGCAGGTAGCAAGAAAGCTGAGAGGTCCGTAGCACTTCGTCAACATGATCCAATCTGCCATCAAGATCTTGAGTTAAATACTGACAAAATTGTCCTGAATCAAACTCCACATCTCGCATATGAATATTCGGTCCAAATTTCCAACCCAATAGCATAGCTGTTCAATTAATAAAACTACAGGGATTATCCCCTACTTGAAACAGTCATCTGAAGTTCACATCACAAAACAGAAAAAATCTCATATCCTTCATCCTTCATAAAACGGAAATAACACAACAAAGTTATAACATCTTCTACACAATCGCATCGAACAATTCATCGATTAACAATTCTCTTTCTTATAACAACCACTCAATTATCAACATACTGAGCGAGATGTAGATTCTCCCGCTCCTCAGCGCCCACAATTTCTCCACGCAAATGTTGCACTTCTCTTCCTAGAGCCTCTTCCTGTAATCAACACAAATAACGAGAATATTTGAGATTTTGTTTCTTTACTGCAGTTCTCTCAGCAAGAACGAGAGCAAGCTCAACACCACTAAGTACCTCATAGCCAACAGCCCAACTAGTACCACACTTGTTACAACGGATAACATTAACGAAGACCACAGGTTGTTCAGGATAATGAACCTGGTCGTCTTTTCCCCACTGGAGTCTTGGCAACTTCCATTGTTTTAGAGGAGAAACTGATGTGTCATGATACTCTTTGAGATTTACACTTTTGTCAGATCTGATTCCATGAACCGCAAGTTTTAATGAGCAAGAATTCAGAACCATCACCATGTAGCACTATCTACTTAGCACAGGGTTGAAGCTGGAACGATGGGACCCATTTTCTCTAAACAAAACTAGCAATAAAAACGTGCAGATCCCTCAAGTCGAAACAAGCGCACGGAAGCTCACAGAACCACAAGGCACAACAAAACAAAGAGATCAATCACCGAAAAGGAACCAGCAAATCATGTAAATGCATATACCCAGCTTTTCTGTACGAGCCAAAATTCAAAATTCAAAATTCAAAAAAAAAATCAAGAGAAAAATACTGATGGTACCTTGCACTTTGCGGTGTGTCGGGAGGTGTAGCGCAGCTTTCAGTACTTCTGACCTTAACACGACTTGGCCAAGAAACCAACGGACGTTCACCTTGGGTCATTAGCCACCGTCTGGCCACCTGCGACACAAGTTCTGCTTCACGTCACAACCAAGGAATAACTTGAACTGCTAACTTGATACACATTGCCTGAAAAAATCTCCTCAAACTTTATGTCCAGATCCAAAAGTGTTTCAAAAATCGCCATGACAACTCATAACCAGTGGAATCGAAAGAATTGGCCAATTAAAACAGAACTCGAATGTAAACTTCTCGAGAAGAACCGCAGACAGGAACAACCTCTCGAAATGGTTTCACAATACACGGAAGTTAGAAAACTGAAAATCAGTTCTGAAAACACTAGAGTTGTTCTCCCTCATCAAAGTTTGACTAAGATTTGAAAAAAACACACCTTCAATAAAAGCCACTCTTGATCAGTCATGCTAGCACATGCTTGATGACTTCGTTGCAAGGTTAGTAAGGTCAAACCATCCACCCCTTCACTTATGAATTTGCTAGAAATATCTGCTTGGATACCACGAATCGATTAGAAACTCGACCCAAACGGAATGCATTTAGTAATAATCCTAAGATAGATAAAAACACATAAAAATTGACAGTACGGAACTCATGCGTACCGTTCATAAACAGTTATTGAATGCGCACTACGATTTCGACTCGTAGCACCTTTTTGTCTAATCCGAATCAAATCACATACTCCCGGACAAACATGAAATGAGTTGTTTATATGATGGAGATTATATGATGTTTGTATGATAAGACAAGCTACCTTTCAATCGATCGGGCTCTGCTGGCACACTGTGTAGGAGCCAATTATTCACTTGCTCAACCGACCACTGAAGCACGACAGTAGTCTGGTCAGGAAGTAATGGAGGCGAATGCGACCGCGTTTTCTCAGATTCCCACGAATCCTCTTGTGACTTGCCCTGTTCTTCCACACAAGGAGTCTGCAAGGGGTCTATAACGCCAGACATTCCTGCAAGAAACCAATCCCATTAAGCAGGAGAGGGCTTGTGGAAACCTCAAGCTAACGTAAAGACCCGTGTACATGCTTGCTACATGCGTGGAGTACAGTGATCAAAATGCGAATATGGATGTCTAAAAGTACTCAAAAGAGTCGTCAACTCAACAATAAAGATTTACAACCGATGCCGATGAGTCAGCAAAGATTTAAAGCTACTGGCGACAGTTACAGTTTGGTTCCCCCCCCATGCTATGGCTTTCCAAACACTCAACCTAAAGGACCACAATTCGGCTAATCCGACAACCATAGATAACAGGTTCCGACATCCTACTTGCTAACATAGAAAATCCCCGGCAAGCAAGACGGAACACAGATTCCGCGTTAAAACCTGCTCTCGGCATCAAATCTAGCTTAAAAGCGCTGCAATGAAAGCGGGAAAAAGCTCCTAAACAAAAAGAAATGAACGCCAACAGAAATAGGGGGTCCGGGAATGAAAGCGGCTAATTCTACCGCTCCGAGTGATGAAGCCGTGTACCTGAGACAGGAAGAAGAACGATCGCTCGCGCTTAAGCGTCCTCGGAGCTTTCTTGCCCTGTCTCTCTCGACTTCCCCGCCACTGTCTCTCCCACTCGCCCTCTGGGCTCTGAGCCTCAGACTCACTAGTCGTCAGTTTACTACCAGCCAACCCTCCGCGTGTATGCATACGAGAATACTAATACAACTACGAACGAAGTGTGGTGAAAAAACTTCAACACGGTCCGATACGTCACCATGCAAGGCAAGCTCCAGTGCAAAAAACAGTGCGAACCAGCAGTCAACGTAAAACAAGCCAAGCGAACGTCAAAATTACCCTTTCAAACGTAAAACTTGGAACAAAGACACCCTCAAAAACTCAGAGAACTCTCATTTTTGGAAAAGAAAGAAAGCTTAATCTCCCCGTCAAACTTCTCTCTGTTTCCTTGGCCGACGACATGGTGTAGAACCTTGGAAACCTTGCACATGGCAGCTATGAAGAAACCACGATGCTTAGAACACTGCACACGGGTGTGAAGAATATCAATGCAGAGAAAACCCCCCCATAACCCCCACTTGATCACATTAGGATATCACCCACAATCGGATCTGAATCTAATTTTAGAATAACCAGTTGGAAGCAGCAACGTGGCTTGCATTTTGTTCTGCATCCTCCTTGGAAGTTGCTCTCTGCCCAGAAACATGACAAACCAATGCGTTCATAATCCATCGCAGAATTCTATGAAATTACTGTTTGACTGTGGTGCTTACCTCCACTAGCGAAGGTCAAAACAGGGGGGCTAAACGAAGTTGCCAATGGGATTACGAATACCCATCTCCCTATTTCAGCGCCAAACTTAGAGGCTGGGACCATAGCTTCGAAGCACTCAACTTGGTTGCTGAAGCTGAAAGCTTTAATTACTCCGGCATAATTATCATGCTTGAAGCGATTTGTATCAAGTAGGTAATTTGTCCTTCGGCACGGCAGTCAAGTATATCAGTTTCTTTTGAACTTTTTTCCTCCATCTCTTTTTTCCCCTTCTCCGTAGGTATGTAGGTAACAACGGAAGGTCGAAACAGACCCTCAGCAGGGTAGTTCTCACCGACCAGTTGATAAGAGCGTGATCCATGGAGTCAGGAGAAGACAAAAGGACCGTCAACCAAGTGCCTGCAACCCAATGGTCAGGTCACCATAAGACTGGTTCCCTTGTCATGGTCCTCGACGACGTGGGTTTACCCGTTGCGCAGCCAAAACTACTGAAGTGGCCCCTGAAAGAACCAAAACGGAACCCTTTTAAAGAAGTGGCAGCGGCAAATGGGGCAGCGCGACAACGGATCACAATGCGGGAGATTCCTTCAGTCGCCACAGTATTTGTCGAGTCATTTAACAGAGTGGAGGATATGCTTTTCTTGGGTGTTTACCGCAAGAATCTCGGCATGAAAAAAACGAAACCCGTCGCTCTGCCAGTTTTACTTCTTCATCCGAGACTCTGCGGTACGCGGTGTTGCCCTGGGGATGGAGCGTTCCTCCAACTCCCAGGTCACTGCCTGTTGGTAGAAAGCATACGGTCTCGATGAACGGTTCATGAATCTCGGATAATCAATTGCAAACCCCAACCCAGACACGCAATTCTCACACGCATTGCCAAAACGGAATTCGGATTTGCGCGACGAGGCTTATGCTGCTGTGCTCCGATCCAGAATATGAAAGAGGCTCCAGTCCCACGCTCAGTCTCATGCTCAGTTCCGTGGTTGTTATCATGCGCATTCTCGCATGCAGTCCCAGGCTCGGTCTCACGCGCAGTCTCGTGCGCAGTTCTGTCTTTCATCATTCCACATGGAGAGTTTTCACGGCCTAGGCAGTTTTGAAACCTGGAATCGTACTGGAATCGAGCGTGGTGCCACGTAGCGAGAGGACGTCGACATTAGGACACACAAGTGCAGTCAATGTGACAATGCCACCTCATGTGTGAACAGAACCGGCTAGAACCACGTCAGCCAGCATGGGCTTCCGAGTTTTTAAATAATACACGAGGCTGGAGATTTGAGGTGGTACACTCTGCTTGGCGTGGGCTACGAGCCCAGTGTTGATATCCGTAACCTTTTACTGATATCCGGGACTATTGTTGATATCTGGACGACTTGTTAGTGGCTCATTTGCTCACTGCACGCGTCTCCAGGTCCTCAAACTTCAAAAATTAAGTTTTTGAAAGTGACATATTTTAAAGCATTAAAATTAGTTGATGTCATTTGAAACACATGTTTGTATATGTGTATATGTATATATATATATATATATAGAGAGAGAGAGAGAGAGAGTTATACATGTACACAAACTACGTCTAAATTTTTAGAATTTTATTTATTTATGTTAAGTTACTTTTGTTTGTGTTTCATCTTAATGTGGAACATTGAAAAAAATGCAAATAACAAGGTGAATGATATTGATTGTTTTCAAAATACAAAAAGCTCTGAGATTTGTAAAAACTACCCTACAGGGAAGAAAATTATAATATTTGCAAGTTGCAAATGCTAGGTTACCTTTCCATCACCATCATCTATCCATCATGGTTTTTGGGATTGTTGGTAAGAACCTGCTTGAAATGCCATGTTACTAATCAAAAGTTTGAGACAAAAGAATCCAAATTCAAAACATGTGTAAGTTGCAATTAGACATACTTAGTCAATAAAATAAATTTTCTTATTTTTAAAATTTTTTTCTGTGCACATGAAAAAACTATCATTGTTATTTTAATGACACATGTTGGAATAAATCATATATGCCTTGTGGATTGATGGATGTGAGGAAAAATAGAAAAAAAATGAGTGGGACCAACAGGCACCACTAAGCAGATTAATCAGTTATGAAGCTGTGATAGAAAATTACCACCCCCTAACAATTAGCAAATATATACAATAGTGCTTCAATTATTGGCCTTCAACAGCAGTGTTTTAAAACTGGATACCCCTTAGTTAACAAATCTTTAAGCAAAGTAGTAGGTATATCCCAATTGTGTCAAAAAATTAAGAAATAAAACGAAAATGGAGAATGATGTTTGATAAAGTAAAATACGCATTTTTCACAGAACAATAGATGTAGCATCATAACCCTTATTATCGTACATGGAATACATACAAACATACGTGTATTCTATATAATACACACAGTAGGTTTGACTGGTCCAGCTCCCGCTATTCTCGCGAGTTCGGTTGTGCTATGAAGTTCCCCTAACCCGTTTCCCATTACAGCCAAGCGTTCCCCAAATTTCCCGCAAGATTTGAGTGAGCGCGCGCAAACTGATGGGACCGTCCCGCCACACTCCCGCCATCCCCTCCTCCTTTCGTCTTCGTGTTCGGCCATGGCAGTTACACCATAGCCACCCGTTCTCTCGATTTTTGCTTCAGCAAATTTTTCTGTGTGCGCTGCGGTTTGCTTACAACTGAAATCGTCGTCTCAGTGCGAGATCTGTTATAACTTTTGAATTACGTCGAGTCCACTTCAGATGTGCTCGTGTAGTGGTGTGTGAAGTAGTTGAGACCGTTTGTTCTTTGGGATCCGTTTGTTTTCGTGTGCGCGGACTCCGGAGGCTTGTGGGGAGGATGGAAGACGGGGAGAGTGGCTTTTGCATGACGTTGCAGCGCAGCAACAGGTCCTGTTCTGGTAGATAGGGCAGCCAGATTTGCAGTTGGTACGCCGGTGACCTTTCGGAGAAGGTTTAAGGTTGCTTTGAAACGGTCGCATTGCAGTGTATTCTTCACCTGCGCCTGTTAATACTGTCAGGTATGGTCAGTTACTTGATTGACGCGTTTTGAAGTTGACTTGTGCATACTTTGATAGGCCTCGAGTGTGTATCACTGTGGATCTTGGGTTCACGGGGTAACTCGCGATTCTGTAATCTCTATGAAAATTTTGTTTTATTCCAGCGAGCGTTATTACATTGCTTTTTCGAGACAAGTTCGAATTGAACCTCCAATACATACTGCTAGTCCTTGCCAACCTCAGTGCTGTTACCAGGGAATTGTATCTCAACGTGTATCTCGAGTTTTTCGTGAATTTCCTTCCTACCTTGCGTGAAGCTTGCAATTCATTAATTCAACCATTGTTTATTGGCGTATGCCAGGACAGCAGTAGGCACATGTAATTCGAGTCCATCTCGATCGTTCCCTGGAGTTTTGCAAGCTCGCTAATCGTGCAATGGATGATGGTAGCATGCCGAGTTGAGGTTCCTGAATACTACTGGAACCGCAGCGGTAGCTCCCTGAGTGTCTCTTAGGAGCGATTTATATAATTCTGTCTGAAAAGATGAAAAAATTCTCGTTGATAATTATACTTCTAAACATATGGCAGCCTTCAACCTAATGGAATCAAGTCAAAGGGCACTCCATATTGCAATTTTGGTTCTGAATAATGGAACAGCTTGTAATGTCGAAGAACTCCAGCAACAATGCTGTTTGTTTCCAGTCTGTGCACGTGAGATACAAGATCTCTGTGCACTGAAAGGTTCACCTCTGCAAGTTTTAGAGGATAACAGGATTGGTCTTACAGCCGATTTTTTAATTGGGCTTCGGTCACGACTCGAGACTTATGGTGGGGTATGTACTGGGACACTACGCTCTAATAGAGCAACCTTTCTGGTTCCAGCCGTGCCTAGCGTCTCCTTGGTCTCTCCCCCTGCTAAGGGTGGTGTTGCACAGGACTTGGACATTAAAGAGGTACATTTCTCAGCCTGCATCATTATTTTTTAACATGCTTTTTCACATTCCCTAATATCTTTTCTTACGTTTAATAGTGAATTTGGTGAAGCATGTTGTAATTTCAGTCAAACGCTTGCAGAAACCGGCTTTGCCGAAACGGATTCCTGAGTTTCAAGACTATGTTGTGCTGGGAGAGGAGGGGTCAGGTGTGCCTTGTCTCACGTTGTACATCATTGCGTTCCTACACTGATAACATGCTGGATTTAATTTTTATTTCACAAACCTCTTGGTGATTGTCATACTTATGTTGCAAGCCAGGAGCTGTTGCATTGCATGTTGTGAATTCACATCTTTTCTTTTTCAATCGAATCTCTCGTGATAGTGATCGTGGCACCTGTGTTATCCATATTCCGGAGTTCAGGGGGATATGGCACGGTATTTAAAGTAAAGCGCAAGGGAGATAACCAACTTTTTGCAATTAAATGTAACCTTTCTATTTGTACCATGATTTTTAGCATTATTGCCTCTACAGTTGTTACTTTTTGAGTCGACAGCTTGATATGTTTCAGTATGTCCCTTCCATGGATTGTGAGATCGACTTGTTTCTATTTCGTTGTCTGAATGGGACCATTCCTGTAGGTCCCTTGGAAAAGACTACTCCTGAATGTGTTAACCATGAAATCAAGATGCTACAAAAACTAGGGTAAGTTTCGTGTCGCTCTGTTCTGAATCTTTTGTCGCTTATGTTTTAGGAGTATGATTTACCTTGACTCAATTCACGTGAAATTTTTCTGCCATCCCAAATCTATCAATTTGCACAACGTAACCGGCAGATGATACCTTCTCGAAGCCTTCAAAATGATTCCTCTTGAAAGATGTTGACGTAATGTATTCACAAGAACATATTATTTTGCGTATGCTTTTAAACCAGAGGGCATGAATACATTACACGATGCGAAGAAGTGGTATGGGAAGTCCCTACCCAGGATAATGAGGAGGGCTTGAAGGAGAATCTGCGCCCCAATCTAGTGTTACAGTATGTTGAGCATGACAAACCTGAGGTAACAATCTCAGATTCTAGTTTCTTGTGGATTTAAGAGGGTTCTCCTGATTAAGGAGAAATGCCTGCTTCTGATCCTGTCTGGCTACTCTGTAGCGTTGTGATCTGGAATTTGTGTACCCCTGATCTATTTATGTCCTCCCGTCACTGGCATCATGAGGCAGGTGTTGAATGTCTTGCTCACGAAAAGTTTGCGCTGGTGTGATAGATCAACCTACATTCGCATGATTATTGATTCTGTTCAGGTCTTAAGGAAAGAAATAACGGTTCAAGAACTGCAACTATATGGCTATTGCTTGTTTAAAGCCCTCGCATACCTGCACAAGCAGGTGGAACTCGTGCCCTTATTTCCGTTTTTCTGTAGTTACAGCACCCTCAGAGTTTCAGTCTGACCGAACTCATGTTTCTTTCATCAGGGGATAGTTCACCGTGACGTAAAACCGGGAAATTTTCTATTTTCTCGAACTAGAGGCACTGGATACCTTGTTGACTTCAACCTTGCATTGGTGAGATGAATACTCAGGCTCCGTTTCCTTTCTTTAATGGGTTGACTGTCATCCTTGTTAAGTCACTAATATCGACAGCGCAACTTTTATGATACCCAATTTGACATGACTGAAATAAGAAGTAAATACATAAATAAATAAATAAAATTTTGAGTCTGTCGTTCGTGATGTTTCATCTATACTTGACGTTTTATCCAGACTCCAAGCGTCTCTTCAACATTTATATCTACTTATCGTTTGTTCTTGTGGTCACAGATGACGTCAACACCAACATTAGCTTCAGGTTGATCCTGGTTTTTTGTTAAAACTTTGTTCATCTTATGAGCACGATATATTGTCCATTCCTTTCAAACATATTCGAATAAGTTTTGAACATCTGAGCACCTATTTGTTGCAGGTAAATCGAAGAGAGTAATATCCAAGCCTTTAAAAGATTTAAGTAAAGAAGAGACTAACAAAGAATTACGGATAACGTCTTCCAAGAATGTGCTTGGTAAGCGTGTACGCAAGGAGATAGAGTTAACCCCTTCTAAGCGCCATCAAATTTCGAATGGGCGTAATAATCAAGCTGGACAATCTTGCAACAGCAAAAGTCCTCGAGCTGATGCTCTGTCCAGGTATGGGTTGCCTTCTCATAGTTCTGGAGCATCGCTGAAATTTTAGAATAAGATATTTTTTCTAGATTCACTTCAAGTGCCTTGTAAGTAGCTATCATTGAGTTTTCCTGCTCTTCTTTTTGTTCAATTCAGGCATCCTGACAAGGGGGCCGTTTCACCTGTTCAATCGGAACAGCCATCTGTAGCCGGACAAAATAATAGCATCCGGACAGTTACAAATTTAAACCCAAGGGTCAATGGTGTGTCCACTTCAACGCTTGGAGAAGAGTACTCCAGAAAATCCGCTGCAGTGAACTCTAGCTCCAAAGCTCCCACAGTGTGCGATCCCGTTGTCCTAACTCAAAGATCACGCCATAGTCGACGCTCCTCGAAAATCGTTGTGAGTCGAGAATCCATCATACTTGAATGAACTCAATTGATTTAAAGTCAGGACATAGCGTTGTTGTTTTAAGTTTCGGTGACAGCTAAAAGCTATATTGAATTTTAACTGTACAAGGGGATCCAGTCAGAGCTGGAAGCAGTCCTGTTTAGGTGTTGTCCGAAAGTTATTTGATATGCTGTAACGGAGTGAATATCATCTTGGCACAACTTTATGTGGTCCGAAGTGGCTGGGCACATTCTCGTGTCATCAGATCTAACGTATTTGAAGTTGCCACTCTCAGACTTCCTTAAAAGAGCCGGATGATGGACATCCTCCTCAGTCAGCTCTGGGTGATCTTGCATGGATGCCTCCAACTGTTGGAGTGCTTCGATTTGCACAGTATCTCAAGAATCGTAACCAACCACAATCGTCTGCACCTACTACTGTCCCCCCTGCATCCCAACGTAAGCGCGTTGCTGCAATACAAGATAAGAAGAACACGATTGCCCGAGCACCTGTATCTCCGCCTCGACCCAGCACGAAAGGTACAGTTCCCTGCTCATAATTCTCTACTACAAGCTGGAGTATTTGTAGATTCTGGCTCCGTGAAGTCCTGTTGGGTTTTCTTAGCTAAGAATGTCCGGCTCTGACATGCATGACATTATGAGTTACATATAATGTAATTACCAGTTTTTCAGTTGAAACCCGAGATGTTTGATTCTGTGGGCTGACCATGTCATTAACAAAGTTCTATGCGAATATTCAATCACGTCTTAATGTAATTATGTTTCGCGTAAATCTAACGTTCAGGTGTTGGAGTTCGTCGACATGTACCTGTAGCAAAGGATGGACCATGTGCTGGAACGAAGGGTTACCGTGCACCTGAGGTAACCCCTTATACATTTTGATTTATCTTTTGATCTAACATCTTCAATTTCTTTCACAAGTTGTCAGTGATTTCAACTCAATTATCCTCTATTTGTTGATCGTTCTTGTAGTTATCTTACATACCATAGCATTCTATCCTTCTCATTAGTCTGAAAGCTTTAGTACTTCAGCTCATGGTGTATCACCTCAGCTTTTCGGTTAAAATCCTTCAATTTCTCTTAGAAATCTCATCAGCATTACGAAATTGGCATGTTCTGATAATCATTCTACCTCCGAGGGTTCCAGGTATTGCTGAAGTCCAACATGCAAACTACGAAATTAGATATTTGGTCTGCAGGCGTGAGTTTGTTGCAACTAATTGCAGGCAAAGCTCCCTTCCCGTCAAACAGCAGCGAACAGTACGATCTACCTCACAATATTCCTCAATTTGCTGCTATTTATCTGTCTGTAAGGACATAGTTGCCATGATTTAGGTGATCAATAAGTGTTACAATAATCGAAACAAGCCCTGTATCCAACTCAGGTGGTTGTTTGATAACGATTTTGCAGAGCTTTGAGGGATATTGCTAAACTTCGGGGTGTGGATGACTTGCTAAAGCTGGCAGGAGGTCACGACTGTCTCCACAAACTTCCCCCAGTATGCCCACATCTTCAGTTCCTCTCTGTTTTAGGAATGCAGTATACAATTGCTGTTGGTATAACTGATCAACATCATGCCTAGGAAGCTATGAAAATAACGTGGAGATCCGTCAGGACAATTTGAGGCAACTAAGAGAAGAGCATGAAGCTAATTTTTTCTCTCGTACTTGAAGCTTATTGTACTTTGTGGTACATGGCAGGGTTTTGAGACACTGAATTACAAATCCACGACAGTAATGGACTGGTGTAGTGCTCATGCAAGAAGACCTGAGATGCGGGACACATTACCACCTGACTTATGCGACTTGCTGGAAAAATGCTTGCGGGTCGATCCAAAAGTCCGAATAGAAGCCTCCGAGGCATTGAGCCATGAGTTTTTTAATTCGGTTGAAGAGAGACTGGCGGCGCGTGATCCTTGTGCCCCTCCCCCTGTCAGAACAATCAGTTAAATATGTTCCTGAAGTTCTCACCGCTTCAATCATGTAACATGTTCCGGGAGCATGTTTATTGGTGTAGGTGAGTTTATCTGCCTCTTGCTTTAGCACTTGCATGTAGGGAGGCTCAAACCTTCATAAAAGTGAAGTGCAATTGGAGAGCAGATGAGACTATATTTTTCGAGTCGGCTAGCAGAGTGTGTACCTTCGACGCACCTCCGAGAATTTATCCATCATTGTTTTTTAGTTAGACATGCCACGAGAGCACCGACCCTAAAATAGGAAGTGCTCTCTTGTACAGTGTAACGCTACACTGTCGACGAGCTTTAGTATCACAAAACACGAACTATGCATACTGAATGTAAATTATCCTACAAATGTCATCAAGACATTTTACTGGAACAAGCTTCTTTTGTGAATAAACTTTGCGGTCTTAGGACACTCCCCTATGTTGGATTTGTGGTGACAATCTACAGGTATTCAAGGTTGGATGAATACAAATTGCATGAGGTTTTTTTTTTTTTTTTTTTTTTTTTTTTCCCTTTTCACTTACATGATTAATTTCTTGACCTCTAAACTCAGTGGAAATGGGTCCGAGTGCTTGACCTCAGGACTTCAAACACGCTGCGAAGGATTTTGTATGAAGGTATTGTCTTTGTTGGGTTTAAAAATGAGGTGTACACGCAATTGACTCTCAATCCAAGAGAACGCCTCTCAACCGAAGCCATTCAAACGAGCTGTCGGAGGGATATTCTTGCTGTTTTACTAGGTTTGCTCTTTTGCAATACAAACCTCACTGACGAATATGTTATTAGATGTAAGATGCAGCACTTTTTTTTATTTTTTTATTTTTTATTTTTATTTTTTTATTTGTTGTTGTTTGTTTGCTGTATTTGCTTGGAGGGAGATCCCATATTAGGGAACCGTTTAAAACAATTTACTGCGTATAAACGTTTTAAACGTGTATTTATCCAGAAGGTCATTTTAAACGGGTATTTAAAACGTTCTAAACCATTTCAGGGATCAGTGACGTCTCCGAACAAGGAGAGATCTCAAACATCCTCATTTTGCTCTACCAAATTCCACGACATCTTCCACCGCTATAGTTTCTATAATTTTGGCTTCAATTCGCTCAACAAGTCCTTCGTCCATGACCTCTTCAAACTCACCCAAAACCTGAAGTATACGTGGTTCTGAATAATCCATCACCAATACGTCTTAGCGAGCCGTTTGTGAAATGAAGTTCGTCGATAATTTTCCATTTGACGATTCAGTTGACGGGAATTGAAATCGACTGCAGTTTGTTTCTCTACAACAGGACCACCCATACGAATGCGTTGCTTGGAACGGACCTTGTTTCCATTTACAATTCCATTTGAAAATAAACACAATCTACAGCTAACTGAATAACAGGCTGATAGAGTACAACTAATGTCGGTGATGTCTTACACACCACCAAATCCAGAGCCTGATCTCAATTTATCTAAACCATAAATAGGGAGTTAAACTCTCATCTATCTTCTAACTCAGTTTCTAGGGCTTCCAGTGAAATAGGGCTCTTGAGCGGCATACACTCTCTTAAGTAACCGTCAAGGTGTTCGGAAAGTGCATTCTGATCGATGTTCCCGTTGTGATAGGACTTGCAAACAAAATATACAAATGTTTGAATCAAAATGCCGATCAGATGCACAAACGTGCACAGCAACAAGAGGAACAATCTGAAGAAGAACCTTCCGAAGTAGTTGTGAACTTGAAGAGGCGTTCTTCTCCTGCAGCTTCAGGTAAATAAAGTATTTCACGAGCTTTGAAGCCAGAAAAGGACATAAATTTGCTCCTTGAATCCAGATTTGGACTCAGGTGCACATCTTTCATGGCAGCCAGATGGTCAGAATAATTCTTATTGATGAAACGCTAGCAATACAACGTGAACTTGCACAGCATATTTTCATACAGACCCGAGTCTACTTGACTCAAAATTTTGATGGCGTTGCGACCCAATTGCATCACATCAGTGTTGCAGTGTTGCCAACTGATAATTGATGAAGGGTCAGGTTTCGACGCACATCGTCAAACATTGGATCCATAGTGTACAATAATGCATGCACTGGATGAGTATTGCGTTCGAAGCGATACACCAGCTTACAGTCACATACTCCCTCTATAAACCACATTAGCGGCATAATTAGGGCTAGATGGGACTGGACAATTCACTTGATGACAGCCAAGGCGTGCTATTGAGAGATTAAGGAGGTCTAAGGGTTTCTATGCCAGAGTTGACCTAGGCCTGAGTCTTGACCTGATTCGCCCAGTCTACTCAAAACTAAATATATTCATTGGGGGATTCAAACATGAAGCTTTTGCAAAACCAAATAACTAGGATTCAGCACTTGATACTTTGAGGATCACTTGAAATATCAAATCCAAAATATTATTGCTTAAACTTTATTATCTATTGTTATTTTGTGAAGTATCACTTGATATTTTGGTGTGGGATGGAGTCAAAGAGAGAAGAGAATTAAGACAAATCTTAAATAACGTAAGTAACCTCCCATTTTTTCTAAGTACATCCTATCAATCTTAAAAAAAATCCTAAATTCCAAATCAAACTCTAATCAATTCCAAATAAATCCTAACCAATTTTTAATAAAATTTAATCAAATCCTAATCAAATCCTAGAAAACCTTATTGGCCTTGAAAATCCAATTTCTCAAATCCGAACTTACTTGAATTTTAATAACCTTTTATTTAATTATTTGATCAAGCTCAAATTTACAACTTATACTACATACAACTATATACACAAATCCACAAATTTTTACTTATAGATCTGCTACAAATCTCAAAATATTCTTCAAAATATAAATTCTTTTTATTTCACAAAAATTGGATTAACTTCAAAAAACTTTGATTTTGCAAAGATCTTACAAAGTTATTATAAATTCAAATCATCCAAAATCAATGCCTATAAAAAGTCTACTTTAGTATGTTATCTATTTTTACTCTTTGATTAACAAAAAGAACATAAAAATTGTCGTAAATCCATAGTTTTGTTTCTCAAGGTGTCATTTTAATCCATATTAACAATTGGTTATTTCCAAGTATTAACATCTAAACTTTCTAAGTAATTTTTATTAAAAATTGGTTATTACTTTTATCTAAAGATATCTATGATATAAATTTTGAATATATATATTATCTTGTTTATGGTTCTATAACTAAATAGAAGCTCTTTTTAGAAAAAAATAGTATTAGCTTTTATTAATTTTATAACTTTCTTAATTATTATCTATATTTTTAAGATAATTTTTTAATATATTTTAAAACAAGATCTTTTATAATATAATATTCTCATCTCTCTTTTATCAAATAGTCATGTTACAATACGACAACATCAAAGTATTATACTACAAATATTGCTTCTTTTGTCTATCATTTTCTTGGGCTTTATCTTGTTGAATAATCTTCCTAAAGAATTTGCTCAAGTCTTTGTATACTTAAGTAATCTTTATTGCTTTTTCTAAGGTGGTTTAGGATTATACAATCACCTATTGAAGGTGATTATTTTGTTGTCAAATTTGTTTAGAAATCAATATTTATAAACTTTTATAATCAATCTTTTACTTTATTAAAAAATGCTCAATAAGGATTCTATATTTTTTATAAAGACTAGTAAAAGCCTCTAATAATAAATTATTTAATAGTTACATGCTTATTTAAGACTACTTTCAAGCTTTGATAGAAGATAGCCTCAAAGTTTGAAAGATACCTAGGCAAAAGTCTACTTTTATCCTAAACACTGTCGAAAAAGGTGAGACTTTTGGAAACAAGAGCCCAGTTCTGTCCAAGATGATGACGAGGCAAGCTAGAGATGATTGCTTTCATCTTATAATAGCTGACATAGAATGCATTGTGGTAAAATTTTAGGAAGACATTATCCCTAACTTGAAAAGCATGCAGACATCAGACTAAAGAAAATCCTTCAAAGATGCAAAAATGTTATAGCAATATTCATCGGTAATATGAATCTAAAGGACATTGTACCCAACCACCCAAGAGTCTTGTCCTTCTAAAATCCATTATATATTTTGTGACTAATTTGGGAAAGTGGCATTTTGGCTTTGGATTGAATTTGGATATTTTAGACATTTGATAATTTTGATCTAGATATTAAGGTACATGACAAAGTTTTGACTCAAGTTTATTTTATTTCATTTGGCTCAACTTATCAAATTTTTAGTAAAAAATGAGACTTGAGTTGTTTGACATCAATGCCAATGGATATTTTGGACATTAATATAGATAAGTTTACTATACATTGATGTTGATGTAAGATTAATTGAAGCTGGTCCAAAATGGTGATGGACCTTTTGTTTTGAGAATAATATAGAAAAAATATCATTTGGAGATTTAAAGATTTTTTTTTTTAGATAGGGATTTCATTATTGGTTGCCTATTAAATTGGATCATGGAAGAAAATAGATGATAGTGGTGGAAACTTGAAGAAGCAAATATGGAGCATAGAAAACTAGATAAGAAAATAAGAAAAGAAGATAGAAAGTTTGGAAGAAAAAATAAATAGATATCTTAACAATGAGAAGAGAAAGTTGCTCAATAGATAGAAAGTTCATCTTTAGGACAAAGAAGTAGAACTCATTTGGATGAAAGCACAATGCCATCAAGTGAAAGAAGGATAAATCTTGCAAGGATAAGGTTGCTTTAATTACTTGTCATTTGAGGCCCTTTTACTTCTCTTTATTGTCTTTTAATGTTTCCAAGGGTTGTTGGATTTTTGAGTTCATCACTTGTTTTTATATCAATTGAAATTTTGAGGCACCTGATATTATCTTGTTTGAAGAAATATCAATTTCTTGCATCAGTTAAGAAATAATAATCTATTTTATACTTATAACTAGGAACAAAAAAATAGAAAAATAAATAACTATTATACATTTGATGCTTTGATTTTGCCATATGGAAATAAAAAATCAAGATGATACAAGAAAATTTCACTATTAAGATGAAAAGAGATATAGATAAGATAAAGAAAGTAAGATCATTTTAAGTTAGTTAACATAGAATTAAGATCAAATAGGTAGTAGAATGTAATTTGTTAGAAAAAAGGTTTACAAGGATGTGAAAAAGATAAAGGTGAAGCAGACATTTGTTAAGTTTTAAGCTAATTTTGCTAAAAAGAAGAATTACCAATATAATTAGGAATTCAAAAGTAATTTCTAAGACCTTGTATTTATACAATTGACTAATACAATGGATGATTCTTTTACCATGAGTTACTGCTATACCAAAAATAATGCATCAATATTTGTCATCTTTTGTAATAATTAGAAATTTTATTAAAATTCTTGTAATAATGCAAAAATTAAAACATACTATGAAAATATGGAATATGGGCAAATAGAACCTAATCTACAAGAGTAGTCTATCCAAACTT